TATAGATAACTTACTCCATGTGTTAGGCGAATTTTTATTAGGCACATCTATGTACATTCATAGGATAGAATAGTTTGTTTTAAAGTTCTTCCGAACGTGATAATTCATTTCCCGTAGTATAAAATAAACCGGTCGTATCTCTATTCTGAATTTTGTATTCCCTACGTCGTACTCTATGTAGCTTTTCAAAAAATATATTAGACTAAGTTTGTCGAAATATATGAAACGACGAATTTGCATTTTTCGTCCTTTTTTTTTTTTTTTTTTTTTTTTTCTTTTGTTTTTGGAATTAAAGAACGAAAATTTCACACTTCCAATTGAAAAATTGTTCAATGTTTATCATTTGCTCTTTCCACTTTCCTTTCTTTTTTCTTTCATCTTTTTTTTCCTTCTCAAAGAATTTTTATCCCTTTCCTCTTATCCCATTTAATTATACGAATCAGTGTGTGAACGATGAAGTAATAAAAAAAAAAAAAAAAAAAAGAAAAAGAAAAAAGCAAGAAAAATAAAATATTTCAAATAATATAAATTTGATATTAAACATTACAAAACAATGATTCTCTATTTTCTATATATTATAAATAAAAGTGAAATTCGTGCTTGGAGAATAAAAAATGATTAATAGGATGGGGTTGAGAGGGAGGAAAGAAAAGAAAAAGAGAAAGAAAGAAAAAAAGGAAGAAAGACAGGAGAAAGAATAAGGAAGGTGAAAAAAAGAAAACACAGAAGAAAATTGTCCAACTTTTACGATATCATCCCGTAAGAACAACTTTTATTGATATTATTAAAATTTATAAAATTGACGAACGGTATAGCGTATCTTCTCTCTCTCTTATATACATACATATCAAGTACAAGGTAAGAAGGGTTTCTCACCCCCTTCCCTCTCCCTCCCGTATCTATCCTCCTCATTATATTAAAGTTAGATATAACGTTAGGTCCAAAGAGAAACTTTGGGTCTTAACGTTTGCAGGGATTCTGGAGGAGGGTTAGAACACGTACTTACATGCTATGTCCGTCACGTACTTGGACGCCATTTAACAAGCTCGCGTATACATCGTGGTGACGCAGACGTATGTTCGACTGTCGACGGGGAACCCTCTGCATCATTAATTTATCCATCGCCAGGCTTTCCTCAGGGCAAACGGGTCTCAGTGACATCGAGTCTCATCAGACAAGAGGAAAGCTCAAGGGTCGTCGGTTAAAAAAAGCATTCCTTTCGAGAACCCTAGCCTATATACCACTTTCTCCCACTACTTTTTACTGGATACTAACTCACCTCAACTCAGACACAACCCTCCGCCCCTCCCCCACCTCTCCTCACCCCCGACACCTCAATCCATCCACCACTTTCATTCTCTTTTACGCCTTTCTTCTTTCCAGTCCGTTATACTCCTCTACCTCTATCCCTCCTACTTCTACTTTATTTATTTATTTATTTTTTTTTCGTTTCCTCTTTCTTCCTCGTTTCCTTTTCCTTCCTTTTCTTTTCTTTTCTTTTCTCTCTCTCTCTCTCTCTTTCTCTCTCTCTCTCTATCTCTCTCTCATTTTTCTGCTCTTTTCTTATCTTTTTTCGTCAGCATTATATTCGTGTATATACATGAGCCTTGCGATCGGTTCTTCTGTTTTCTTATTTCAGCACAGGTAAAGTGAATTTAATAAGAGAAAAAGAGTCTTTTCTTTCTTCTTTTCGTTCGATCTAACCATTTCTTTCTCTCTCTTTCTCTCTTTCTCTCTCTCTCTCTCTCTCTCTCTTTCTCTCTTTATCTCTGTCGTTGACTTCTGTTTCCATCAAGAGGGAAAAAGAGACACGTTCCCGGTGAGATATTTCATTCTCGTCGATTTTCCATCGAAAGGGAACATGAAGAAGAAGAAGAAAAAAAGAGAGAGAGAGAGAAAAAAAAAAAGAATAAAAATGAAGAGAAAAAAGAAGAAAGAAAAAAGATGAAAAAGAAAATAGGGGTGAAAAAAAAAATAGAAAGAAGAAGAAATGGTAAGAAAAGGGGGGGGGGAGAAAGAAAAAGAGAAGTAATAAATAAAAAGGAAAAGAAATTTGAAGGGATGTTATCTATCTATCTATCTATCTCTATCTCGTAATGGTCGATTCATTCTTTCCTTTTCTATAGCATGCTCGTTTTCTTCTCTTGCCTCTCTCTCTCTCTCTCTCTCTCTCTCTCTCTCTCTCTCTCGTTCTCTCGCTCTCTCGCTCTCTCTTTTTGTCGTCATACTGACTTTTCTTCCTTGACAACGGTGCTTCTTTCTCTATTAACGTTACAACGGCGATACACGAATCGTAGAATACCTTTCTTTGGGAAACTTACCTTTTGTTATTGTCTTTTACTTGCCCTCTTCCTTTTCTTTCCTTATATTTTTCTTTTTTTTCTTTTTTCTTTTTTCTTTTCTTTTTTCTTTTTTTTTTTTTTTTTGTTGAACACAGAAAGTGGGGTTATGAGAATGTGAGGATGGGGAGAGGAGGGAGGGAGGGAGGGATGTGGAGGGTAGAAGAAGCGGAATGACGGGGGTGGGGGGTGGGTGGGGAGGACCTCCAGAGTAAGGAAGGGGAAACGGGTTTTCCTTTGTATTTCACCGCAAAAGCTCATCCCTACTAGCATCCTCTTTTCTCTTTTCTTTTTTCTTTTTATTTTATCTTTTTCTCTTTTTTTTTTTCATTTTTCTCATTTATTATTTCTTTTTTTTTTTTTTCTTCTTTTTTTTTTTATTTCTCTCAGAAAACTGCTTGCCGCTGATATCGTTTCTGCTACAAAATAAAAGAAACTTTACGAGGCTCCGGTACTTTTTCTCTGTGTATTTATATGTGCATGTATGTGTGTGTGTGTGCTTGTTTGTTGTGATCTTATATAATGAACGGATGATATTAAAAAATTGCAATCGATATTGTAGAAATAAAAAAAAAAAAGAAAAAAAAAAGAAAAAAATGAAGAAATTTGAAGGTATATATTTCAGAAAATTAAAAAAGAAAAAGGAGAGGAGAAAAGGTCTTGCGCCTTTGTAAAAGAATTTTAAGAATCATTATTGAATCAATAATCGAAAATATTTGGGGAAATATTTTACGTGGAAACATTTGTCTCGTCGTACGTATTATATAAAATTTATTTGCCATTTATTTAAGAAAATAAATAACAGATTAATTATCCTACGATCTAATTCGATCTAACGTTATATTCGTTTTATTGTACAACATATCCTCCTTTCCCTTCCACCTCCTTCACCTATTCATCTTCTTTTATCGTTTGATTAATTCTAAAAAAGGAATCGTGATCCAACGATATGATCATACATTATATATATATATATATATACGGTCGTCATATTGTTTCATATTTGTGTTTCGGACGAATGCTCGAAATTCTTCTCTTATGCATTTTTGCAAGTTCCATCTCAGTGCATTCTTAAACCTCTTACGCTTGGCTTACTTCTTCTCAAAGCTCACCTCGGGAATATACGCCCTGGTTTAGTTTCATTCATTACAATATATATATATATTTTACTTAAGACTTATATATTCGTTTCTTAATATTACTCGTTTGATTATAATTTGTTCGGCTATAAACAAAAAGGTATATATATATATATATATATATATATATATATATATGTATGTATGTATGTATGTATGTATGTATGTATGTTCATATGTAGTAAAGGTTGGGCGAAAAATTCTCAGGCTCGTCTCGTGTAGTTTTTACGACGAACGAGGAAAAAGTAAAAAAGAAAAAGTAAAAAAGGAAAAAAAAAAAAAAACAAAAAATGATGTCTAAAAAATCTTTAGAAATAATAAAAAATTTTTAAAATCACTTAGAAACTTATGAGTCCATCTTGTTTATATCTTATATATATATATATGTGTGTATGTGTGTGTGTGTATAGGTATGTATGTCTTATCAAAATGTCGATAAGCAAAAGAAAAAAAAAAAAAATAGAAAAGAAAACGAAACGATTCTATATCATAGAAATTCCCCATCCCCTTACCAGGAGCAGGACGTGGAAAGGGAATAAAGAAAGAAACTAGGAAAAGGAGGGTAAATCTCGGAGAAAAAGACAAAAAAAAAAAGAAAAAAGATAAAAGAAAAAAGAAGAAGAGAAAAGGGCTAGCATTTCAGCGACGAACCTTGAAGGTACTTCTTGGACTCTTATTCGATGGATGGGATAGTAGTAAAAAGAAATTTCAGAAAGATAAAAAAAAAAATAAAAGAAAAGATAAATATCGTAAGAGACATCTCTTTCTCTCTCTCTCTCTCTCTCTCTCTCTCTCTCTCTCTCTCTCTCTCTCTCTCTCTCTCTTTCTCTCTCTCTTTCTCTCTCTCGTTTATTCGATAATAATAAATCGTTAATATATTATAGTCAATCATCTTAGGAATATATTTTGCAATAGAGAAAATTTGTAGAAAATCTTTAATTCCTTCGATAAATTATGGCACCGAATATATATATATATATATATATATATATATATATATATATATATATTGTGTGTGTATGTGTGTGTATATATATATATATAGGGCGGATTGAAAGTTTTCATATGAACCAAAAATTCTAAAATTATATTAAACGTCAATTATACTTTTACGAAATCATTAAGGACAATTTTTCTTTTCTATTTCTCTTTTCTTGTTTCTCCTTTTCTTTTTTTTTCTTTTTTTTATTTTATTTTATTTATTTACTTATTTTTTTTTTTTGTTCAAATTATACAACTACAAGCCTAGCTTGTAAAACTGCTAGCCTGTAAAAATTATAAGACTTGAAAAGTCTTGAAAAAAAAGTAATTGACTTTTAAAATCACGTAGGAACTTTTGGCCCACCCAAGGACTTATCGCTCATTCTACATATATATATATGGAGCATGTAAAATTGTTGGTAGGTTGATAACTGACATCTTATTTGCGGCGTGTTCAATTGAACCATATATAAAATTAATCGTTTAAAATGGACAATAACGAAAGTGTATTAATTATACTTGTTTCTTTGCCTTCTATTTT